GGAGGGGACGGAGGGGGAAGACGGTGCCACTCTCCAAAGAAGTGATGTGGAAGCCTATTCTATCATCCCGGTGAGGCTCGATAATATTCGGCCAGCTGGGGTCAAATTCAAGGATGTACCCCTCCGGGAGATTCCTACGAACCTTGTTTTGGGCAATTTTGGAGACGTGGGGGAAAATGTCTGAGGGGTAGCTAGTGGGGAGGGGAAAGTAATCGGCCGCTTCCAGTCGGTTCGCCCATCCCTCGTATGACTCGTTATCAGGGTCATAGGGAGCCGGCTCATCGTCAACCGGTTCCTCCCTCTCCTGAAAAACCTGACCGGGCATCTGGTTAACCGGCTGCGGTTCGGGAACGGTGGTGTCGGGAACCGACCGGTGTTCAAAATCGGGTAAAGATGACCCGGTAGAGGAGGAAGAAGATGGGGATTCCTCGGATGCGTAGGCATCCGAGGCGGAAATATCCTGGCTGTCCAAGGAAGACATGTAGCGGGAGAAAAAAAATGGAGGATAAAGAAAGCTAGTGAGAGAAAGTAAGGAGCTTACTTGACTCGGAGGGCTAGGAAGCTAGAGAGAGGCTTGACCGGTGAAACTCAGGAGACGCGCGAGAGGAAGTGAAGAAATGAATGGGGTGGAGCTCTTTATATAGGCGAGGAAGGAAGGGAACGGGCGACGTGGCCACTCAAGGACGCGCCGCGTCAGGCGGCGCAATGATGACGCGTGGGAAGACGAAAGGGCGGGCTGACAGCGATTCAGAACGGGTGGTTGAGGCGCGACACGTGTCTGGGTTCAAAATTTGAAATTTGAATTTTGAAACCCCTGGGCGGGAAAAGTTGAAATTCGAAATATAAAGTCCTGTTTCAGATTTTTACTTCCCGCTTATGACAAAATTGCATAACCGAGAAGTGGAGGGCTTATTGATGGGTGTATTTCACCCACGACCGGTCAAAGGTCAGGACAGGATAGTTGACCGGTCAGAGAGGTCAAACTTTAAAGAGAGATCTGAATCGTCGGCAAATGGACCACCGATTGACCAAAAAGTTGACCGGTACACTTCGGATAGTATACCGGTCAGATTACTCCATCAGCAGGAACCAATTCCGAAGACAATTGATCCAATCCTTCAGAAATCAACCGGTGCAACTTTTAGAGATTGGGGAGTGTCGACAGGAGGAGTCCAAAAGGACTTGGACTATAGTGGCTGGAATTGCAGAGATGCTGGAGGAATATTTCCAAGCCAGAACGTGACAAGGAGGGTAATCCCCCTCGCAAGATGACAAGGCGGATCAGGGACAGTCATCTCGCACCACATCAGCAGCGTGCTCCCACGTGGGCGCACGTGGACCTGTCCCCCAGCTTAGTATATATACCCCTTGTAAACCTCAGAAAAAGGATCCGATTTTCACTCTCTCTAAACTCCTTTGTAAAAGCACCCATGCATTCTCCGTTATAATATAAATTGGGCTACAGGTGTTCCACCTAAAGTCCTACCGGTCACTTAGCGTGTTTTTACCTTTCTTACTTTGCCAAATCAAGCGAACTATTCTAGACCCGGTCTAGTATAGTTTAACCGCTCAAGTAATTTACATCATCAATTATAAATTCCATGCAATTTAATTTATAGTAATGTGATTTGAAATTGATAATAAATTTATATTAAATGCAATCTTTTGTATTCGAAGTACTAGTATTTTTTGTTAGTGTATATTTATCTTATATGGAGTACCTTTAAAAAAATGGTCCGCTTGCAACCTATGAAAAATATGAGAACTAATATATATGTTAAAATAGTTTATAAGTAATTTTGACTACCCTATAAATACACACTCCGTAATACTTAAAAAAAAGTACCATACATGCAATATCCAAATAAGATTTATTAAAGCATGAAACTTTTACTACCTTCGCCTCATAAAACTTTTCAAAAAAGAAAAAATATGCGCCCTAAAAATGTAATCCCTCCGTTCTCAAAAGCACTTCATCTTTCATTTTTTCCACTTTCAACAAAACACTTCCCTTTTCTATTAAAAAACTACTTTTACCCTTACTTTTTTCGTACCCTACCTATCACATCATACTTTTTCTCTAATAATTTATCCATCACATCTTACTTTTACTCATTACATCAGGGGCAAAATTGGAAATCAACTATAATTTAACACTTTCTTATTTTTGCCCCAAATCAAAATGGGAAGGGTTTTTCCAAACGGAGGGAGTACAATTTTGATATTATTATTTTTTAATCCTATCCTTATATTATACTCCCTTCGTTCCACAAAACCCTTTCCTTTTCGTTTTTCTTGAATTCCCTAAAACACTTCCACCTTCTATTAAAAAACCACTTTTACCCTTACTTTTTTCATACCCTACCTATCACATCATATTTTTTCTCTAATAACCAA